CCCCTTTCGACTTCCTCCCTCCCCCCGCCCCTTTCGATTCCTCCCTTCCCCCGCCCCTTTCGATCCACGTCATTTCCGATCCAGCCCTCCGTCATCTCCCTCCCATCCCGGTCCTGTCGTCTCCTGGGATTTCGCCGGCTTCCGTTCCTCTCCCGTTGAGGCAAAGTCGGCTAGGACTGCTTGGTGCTGGATGTGGATCGACGAAGCGAGTGTCGGACGGTGGTGGTGGAGTCGTCGTTAGCGTCGTTGGCGGCGCTGGTGGTCGTGATGGCTCGACAGCCTTCAATCAGTTTCTGGGCAACCGATTTTCCGTTCCGCACGAGAGCCAGAGAGGCTTCTCCAATTGCAATCTTTTCATTGAGATACCTCTGTTGTTCTTGGCAAAGCATTTCCACCGCCTGTCTGCCGGAGTTGTTCAGTGGGGCTGTGTCTGCGGTGGCGATCGCCTCGTTGATGACGAAACCCACCTCAGTGGCGCGTCGATCCAGTTCCAACATGGAGGCCAAGTTCCGAGCTAGGAACCCGCTCATAGAGCTCAAGTACTCCTCTTGCTGCAAGCACTCTAATGATCAGAACACCTACTCACTTTGTTCATTACCCTTTTCCTTTATTCCTCAAGCATCCCTGGAGCGCCATCCTGCCGGCGGAGACGCCCCCGGTCTTGGTTAAATCGAAGAGATCTGACAACAGAATTTTTAGAGAGAAATGTCGCTGACCTACAACGTTGTCTTTTACGGCGTTATCCCAAGGTATCTTCAGCACCGCTTCACTGCCACACGTTTCGTGCCACATGTTTCGGATTGCCCCCGATCGGTAAATCTCGATCGTCGGGGTGTTGCCCCGATCGTCCACCAGTTGCACTGGTGGATGAGTGTGCGTGGGAAAGGCCTGTTCCTGAAGGTCGGCTGCAGACACCACGAAAACGTGGTCTGAGGGCTGCGACTGTGCGAGGGATCTGTAACGGGTTGGCACCAGATATGTGTTCTTTCAGCGACTATGGTGTGATTGAGAAGATAGTTGAGGAGGTCTTGAGGACTGGCCGCTACGCCCGTTTTATGGCATGCTTGGGAGGCTGCGCTTGTGCTGCGTTGGTGCAGGACCGTTTGAACGCGCGGTTTGGAAATAGTGTGTGTGTGTTATGTCTGGGCGAGTCAAGCAGCACCCCTGTGGCTCTGGATCCGAAGGTATGTAGCGACAAGTTCTCAAGAGAGATTGGCTTCGCGGATCTGGTGTTTGTGCAGCCTGGTTCGTTCTACACTGCTCGCTACACGTCGGCTGACGATTACTTTAACAAAACTTTCAAGACTTTCTACTCGGCCGCTAAGTGTTTTGTGCCTCTGCTGAAGGCGGACGGACGGTTTGTGAACTGCATCTCACCCCTGGTGGTGGCTAAGTTCCAAGCGAATAAGTACCGGCTTCAGAAAATGCTTGTATCCAGTCGGTTGAACGAAGACCTGCTGATGACTTTAGTTAATAGATATAGTGAAGCGGCCCGGAGCAGGACCTACGACGTCGACGGGTGGTCTGCTGACTACATGGTGATGGCTCAGGTCTTCACTCACGCTTGTGTTCTCATGATCTCCAAATCTAGAAGTTCTCTCTTGGGGGGAACTGCCGCTCAAGTGCGCTCCACCGAGACTGGCAACGGCAACTTGCTGGTCTACTCCGTAGTGGCCCCGATCCTACCGCACTTAGTGTCCTCTCCTGCGGACTCTGCCGAATGCGCTGCCGCCATCGCACACACCATCACAAGTCAGTACGCACACCCAGACAAGATCAACGGCTACCTCATGCTCGGCCACCACTCCGTACCCATCACCGCGAACCTCCAAGACCTTACCGCTCTAATGAAGTACCCAGACCGCATCGACTGGACCATCAACTACACAGACTCCATCGTTAACCCACTAACAGCAGAAGATGCTTCCGACTATTCCTCCATAGCGCCAGGACTCCTCCACAGCCTATCTGGCAGATCAGGAAGCATGTCCTCCACATCCACCAACCGCGCCATCAAGCAAGCCGCCAACTCGATCCACAGCGGCGACCAAGACAGTTTAAACCCTTCTACATTGAACCCGTCTACCTCGAACCAATCTACCGTTAATGTGTCCACCGTTAATGTGTCCACTGCGATCATGAACCAACCTACCGTGAACCAATCTACCGTGAGCCAATCTACCGTGAACCAATCTACCGTGAGCCAGTCTACCGTGAACCAATCTACCGTTAATGTGTCCACTGCGACCAGCAACATTTCGGGCTCGTCGAGCCAGCTCGTGAGAGACAGTGTCACCCTCGGAGGAAGCACGGCAGTGGGAGGAAGCGTGACTCTCAGTGGTTACGGAACCCGCGGCGCAAACGAGAAAGAGCTAGTTTCGGAAACAACGAAGTTAACCGAGACGGAGATAACTAACGAAGACAGTCAATCGAAGTTCAATAGAGGGTCACAGGCTGTTGGCGGTCCTGCGGATTATCGTGGATCTGTCCACAACTCTCTCCAGGGATCGCTCCAGGGATCAGTTCACAACTCGGTCCAGGGATCGGTTCACAACTCCGTCCAGGGATCGGCTCACCACTCCGTTCAGGGATCGGCTCACCACTCCGTTCAGGGATCGGTTCACCACTCCGTCCAGGGATCGGTTAACAACTCTGTCCAGGGATCGGTTCACCACTCCGTCCAAGGATCGGTTCACAACTCCGTTCAGGGCTCAGTTAACCACTCGGTCCAGGGATCAGTTCACCACTCGGTCCAGGGATCAGTTCACCACTCGGTCCAGGGATCAGTTCACGACTCTGTCCAGGGATCGGTTCATCACTCCGTTCAGGGATCGGTTCACCACTCCGTTCAGGGATCGGTTCACAACTCCGTCCAAGGATCGGTTCACAACTCCGTGCAGGGCTCAGTTCAACAGAGACCAGTGACCGGCAGCAGTACCAAACCGACTGACCCTGTCGGGTCGGTTCACTCCGACAGACAGTCATTGCAATCTGGTGTCGGGTTTTCTGTTCACTCGTTGCACAGCGGCCCGCATGAGGGGCCCGTGAACTCTCACAGCCAGCACCAGCAACATGCCCTAGACAAGGAACAGGATCTGAACGGCCAGAGGCTCTGGGCGAAGACTATGGAGCAGCATGCCATCGAGGAGCAAACCCCGCCGCGTGATGCCCAAGAACAGCGGACGATTCAACAGACGACCATCAAGAAGGAGCAGGGGATCAGCCAGACTTACCTGCAGAGTTCGCAAGAGAACAGGTCTTCCGTACTGGACGAGAGCCGTGCCAGTTCTAGCCAAACGAATCGAGCGATCAGCCCCCTTTCGCCGGCCGTTATGCCTGCTCAGCCGCCCATTCCTGCACAGCCGATTGCTGCCGATCCGGTTGCATCTTACCGGGCTATGACCACTACAACCGCTACGACCACGACCACGACCAGTCGACAGATGCCGATCTCTAAGACTGGACATCCTCCGCTGATGAGGATCGTGAGCACGCACACCACTACGCCAAGTGAGATCAGGAGCCGTGCAGTGTCACCCTCGCCCCTTGCGAGTGGCGCGGCAAGGATAGCACCGTCTCGGCAGTTCGTGTCTGGCAGTCAAGACGGTGGACGCCCGACTCAAGGCTACTCTCAGTCCCCTGTGGGCTCCCAGCCACACTCTCAGTCCCAGGTGTTTTCTGAGAATCAAGGATTCACGCAGAACTACTCAGTATCTCGGTCACAAGTGAACGACTGCGTCGAGCAAACAAGCTCTGTACAACAATTCATGTCTGGTAGTCACGACGGTGGACGCCCGACTCAAGGCTACTCTCAGTCCCCTGTGGGCTCCCAGCCACACTCTCAGTCCCAGGTGATTTCTGAGAACCAAGGACTCACGCAAGACTACCCAATACCTCGATCACAAGTGAACGCTTCCGTCGAGCAAACAAGCTCCGTACAACAGCTACATGGCATCCCTTCCATTTCGAGCACGCAACAAAACTTGGAGACGTATCATGAGACTTCTGCCGGCAAAACCATTATGGGCCAGAGCACCAGCAGTCAGACCTCTGGTGGTCAGAAGGCGACGACGTACCAGCAGTATACTACCGACAGTCGTCAGTATGGCAGCGGACCGAAGGTCGTTAGTCGGGAGATCCTTTCTGGCGACTACTTCCAGCGTGAGATTTCTCAGCGTCAAATTGCACAGCAGAGCCGCGAAATCTCTGGCAGTCCGCCAAAGGCCACTGCGTACATAAGCACGCAGATCGAGACAGTTTCCCCGAGGAACGAAGTTAGCCGGACGGTAGATGTCGAACATCGGGAGATGCAGAGCATCGACGGATTGAATCGACAGGCGGCTGAGCATGACAGGTGGGCTGAATATGCTCAGCAGAAGAGTGAGGATGCTAAGGACACCGGACTGTTACAGGCGGATGTCATTCCCCCTGGATCTGTGCCGGAGGAGTACGCGGGATTAGTGTACAAAGGAATATTGTTCAACCGCCCTGCGGAGGGACGACCTACTACCGAGAACTTCCGTCTGGAGATGGCTGGAGCAGTACCGTATGGTTTAGATGAGAATGAGGTGTTGTTAAAGCTGGAGTGGGTTTCGGTTGACCCGTACATGCGGGAGAGAATGAATGAGGGCAGCCAGATTATGTTTCAACTTAATAAGCCATGTATGGGTCACTGTATTGGCAGGGTGTTGGCGTCGAATAATAGTAAGTATCAAGTAGGGGATTACGTACAGGACATGTTGGCATGGACCGAGTTTGTTGTGGCGGTGCCTTCACAGGCCGCAATCCGAATTAATAGCGAGGTGAGACAGACGACTCCCGTTGACTACTTCATTTCTGTGTTCGGCCTTGCGGGTCTGGCGGCATACGTGGGTTACCTGGCTACTGAAGTGAGACCGGGGCAGACACTGGTGGTGAACTCTGCCTACGGTGCTGTGGGCCAGATCGTGGCGCAAATGGCCAAGGCCGACGGAGTAAATGTGGTGGTGGTAGCGGGTGGAACCGAGAAGTGCGGGAAACTCCGAGAACTCGGCTTCGACCGTGTAATCGATTACAAGACCTGCAACGACTACCAGAGTTACTTCAACACTCTGCACTCGATCGCTCCTGACGGTCTGGATGCTGTCTTTGAGAACGTGGGAGGATACCAGCTGGATACTCACTTTAAATTACTAAACCCCAAGAGTAAGATAGTATTCTGCGGTGCTGTCTCGCAGTACAACTTACCGCCAGACCAAAGGTATCATTATCTCAACCTGGAGAGCCTCATTCTCAAAGCAGGCTCGCTGCTTGGTTTGGGACTAGGCTCCATGGATTTGGACTACGCCGCCTTCACCCAGAAAATGACTGACCTTCTCACTTCGAATCAGCTTGTCTACCAGACTGATGTCGTTGAGGGGTCTATAGAAGTAATCCCTGAAGCATTCATCCGAATGCTTGAAGGAGCTAACTTCGGAAAACAATCTGTAAAGATCACAAGGTCGGCATGAAATGCGAGGGTATGGCAGCGTGTCTACCGGGGAACTACGGATTAATGGCAAGGAAGCTATGGCAGACAGTTTAAGGCGGGGTTGGAAGCCGGGACTAGCCATAGCTGCATCTTTCTCTACAAGAATCAGTTTTCAAACTTTTTTTGGGACTGTAGAAACCGAATAGGAACGCATTTAGCAATTGCATGGATACACACACGTGTTGCGTCAATGCATATCCGCCACGTGTTGCAACCTGCGCGTGTCATGCCTGCTCCTTAGGCACCCGCACTGACATTCCCTGAGTGATCCCTGTTTCGACAAATCAAATTCTCTAACTGACCGCGATCTAGCGCGATCTAGCGCGATCTAGCGAGACCCGACAAGAGTGAAGTGCTTGGGTGATGACAGTGAAGTGCTTGGGTGATGACAGTGAAGTCGAATTGTGTATGGGAAGTGCTAAAATTATTGGGCGGTGACGTGTCCGATTGGGGACAGGGTGTTGTTATTATTTTTGTTTCTTTTGGTGGAGTGAGATATTCTAGTTCTTCCTTCTTCTAGTCGTGTGATGGGTAAGCCGGATACGTTGGGCGATGATGCTTCAGAGCACGAGCGTGCTTTGTTCAAGTGTCGGATGGCGGAGAATGCAGAGCGATTCGATGACATGGTATCGTTTATTCGAAAAGCTTGTGAGAGCTCTACGGAGCCCTTGGGGCCGAATGAGAGGAACTATTTGTCGGTGGCGTACAAGAATAGTGTTGGAGCTCGGCGGAATGCGTTGCGGTGTCTGACGGCGATGAAGCATAAGTACGAGCAGAAGGAAGCGAGTATTAATGTCAAGATCATTGACGATTATTACGCCGCCGTATTGGAAGAGTTAGTCGGTATTTGTAATGAAGTGCTCAATTTGATCGACAAGCAGATCTTGAGACCTGAGGTACTTAATGATTTGAAGGATGATCTATCTGCTCGTGAGTTTAAAGTATTCTTCCATAAGATGTACGCCGATTACTACAGATACCTTAGTGAATTTGCTACTGGTGGCGACAAGACAGTTGCGATCCAAAAGGCAAGCGAAAACTACAAGAAGGCTATGGAGTCAGCCAGTCAAGGACTCCCACCCAGCCACCCTATCAGACTTGGTCTCTGTCTCAACTACTCTGTATTCTTGTACGAAATAGAGGACCAACCAAAGGAGGCCAAAGAGCTTGCTAAGAAAGCTTTCGATGAGGCCCTCGATAACCTCGACTCAGCCGGAGAACTTGAATACAAAGACAGTACACTCATTCTCCAACTACTCCGTGACAACACTACACTCTGGTGCAGTCAGGATAATGACTCCAACACTGGCGCCCCTGCTGCACCGCAGCCAGGCCCTGCGGACCAGAAACCGGCAGCACCTTGAAACCATTTTTAAACGAATTAACCAACGTGTATTCACCGAACTAAGCTGTAAGATGTCTTAATGAATGCGTGACACGTCTTGACTAAGGCCAACCAAAAACAGGCCATTAGCCATTCTCCCTCACACCTTTCACAGGACAGGTGCGCAGAGGACAGGTGCGCAGAGGACAATTGGAAGCACAACTGCAGAACATGCCTCCAGCTGTCCCGGGTGACTGGTGGGGGCCGTGCTGGAGAAGAGAAAGACCCCTTAGTAAATGCTATTAGCCTGATTACTACTCGTGAGAGAAGAACGCCCTTTTCTTTATGACTTTCTGGAGCGATCGTGTTGACGACATTTAAAAAAAGCAAGACTCATCGGAGCTCTCTGGGTCGGACCTCACGGTTGCGTGTCTCGTGTGCATTTCTAGTATGCCTTGAAGTTGTCGATAATTTCCTTCGGCACTTTCTTTTGCTTTACAATGCCTAACTTAACGAGCGAAATGCAGTGATCGAATAGGGCGCTCTCTGTGGTGCGCCACTCCTTCATACCCAGATTTTCGTGGGCCTCTTTGTTGCAGCAGTAGGTGGTGCATTCCATCTTGTCGACCGCGGCGGCAGCGGACGAGGAGACGTACTGGCCGATGCTGAGGAGGAAACGGGGCGCAACACAGGTGGGTACGTTGAAGCCCCACTTGTTGAAGTAACGGGCCACAAGTTCGGCTTGTTCGGAGAAGTTGAGGTTTCCGTCATCGCAAGTGACAAGGAAGCGTTTATTCGCCACCTTCGCCGACTCACCAATCATGCCGAGTATGTGGCATGTCGCGGCGTCTCGAACGTCTACATGCGGACTGTTGATCTCAGGCACGAAGGGGAAGGTTCGATTCAGCAGACGTAAGATATGCGAAGTCGACTCTCCAGCCGCCTGCTGCTCTGTAAATAACGGACCGAAGATAAAACCCGGACACATAGTCACCAACTCCACCACAGGATGCTCACCCTTAGCGTTATGCTCCTTAACCAACTCCCACGCACGCTTCTCAGCCAACGTCTTGCTCAGTTCATAACCCTTTATAGACTCGGCCACACTCCAGTCCTCCTCAGTCATCAGCTTCCAGTCCCCGTACTTGTCTGGGACCGCCTTCCGCGTCCGCACGTCACGATCTGGTGGAGAAAGAGAACCCAGGTCATTAACGTCAACACGTTTCGTCTCACCCCGCTTCCCCTCTTCCTCAACGTCAGTGCGCTTCGTGTCTTCAGCCTGTTTCGACTCGTCCACGTCGAGGTCGCCTTCAATCACCTCGGTGCTTGGGTCTGCGGTGGAGGTCTGCTCAGCAATCTCGCCCGAGTCGCCCTCCGGTGCCTTCCCTGCCTCCGCGTTCTTGCCAAAGGTTCGGGTCCTGGCACACTCTTCGTTCCAGGCCTTCCGCGCCACCTCCATCGCCGCCTTGTCGCCGCACTGATAGCGCGCGATCGGGTGTCCGAACATAACACTGCAGACGCTACTCGTCTGCACGACCCTCTTGACACTCGGCTCTAGCAGGCAAGCGTTAAACACGTTCTCCACGCCCTTGACAGCCGGCTCGATCAAATCTCGTTGTTGGTTCTTATACTTGAAGGTGAAAGGCGATGCCACGTGCAACACATACTCGCAACCCGCGACCGCCTTCTCCCATCCTTCGGTGCCTACCAAGTCCGCCTCTACCAACTCTAACCGACTATCGGCTAAAGGGTGGAACGTCTTCAAAAACTTGTACTTCTCACTTGCCAAACTCCGGACCGTCCCCCTCACCTCGTACCCCTGCTCCAACAACTGGTAGATGATGTGACTCGCCAGCCACCCCCCAGCACCCGTCACCAGCACCGGACTACTAGTGACGCGACTGGCCATATTCGATTTGGGAAAAACTCGAACTCCGCAAACCCGCGTCCTGAGACGCTGCGCTGCGTCCGGAAACCAGTGAACATTTACGACCAGTGAACATTTACGACCACAAAACTTGACTACAAAACTCAACGGTGACCGTCTCTGCCGCACCTGGCAAACAATCGCCCGGGCTGTTGTTTGTTGGATTGGCGAAACGCCCAACACTCGGAGGCCCTACTCTGGCATCCTCGATAAACGTAGTCCTGTATCGAACTACGTACGACGCTTGGCCCAACTGCAAGGTCACGAGGCGCTCGGTGGGAGTGACCTGGCAGACGCCGTAGAGATGACGAGGGAAGTCCTTGCAGTGAAGCAAAGAAGAAGCCGGCGGTGAACTGGCAGACCATTGCCGTCGGTCGGGGCTGCCCCATCTGGAGGCGTCCCGAAGACTCCAAGCACAACTCTTCCGTTTCCGACGCCCCGACGTCCCAGCACACCGGTTTAAGTGTCGTTTATCAGTCCGTTTTCATGGACGAGATGTGTGCATCGTTGGCCTACAGATTGCCTACTCCAACACTAACCAGGCACAAGGCGCTTGCACATAAATTTTAAAGAAACACCTGAGCCAAATAAAAGGGGGAAGGGGATCGGGCTTGCACATGATGACCCAGTGGTCGAACGTGCACACGGTAGAATCGGACACGGTCGGACCCTCCTCGGACAGGGCGGAGCTGCACGTCATAGAACCGAAAACCAAACAGGGACGACCGTCCACACGGAGCAAAGCGACTGCCACGTTCAGTCATTACCAGCTCAACTGGACTTGTAGCAACGGCCGGAGTCCCCCAGATTTCAAGTGGACATCCTTCCCGGTACTTATCGAGTGTGTCGGAAGTTGAGTTCAACCTTCGGCGGCGCGCGTGGATCTGTGTATGACTGAACTGCAAAACCGCAGCAGCGACGCAGGCAGACCGGGACAACGGAGGTGGTCAGACAGATGCCGGAGTGCCAGATACCGGAGGGAAGTGCTAGCCGGTTGAGCCGTGAGGGTTTACGACCAGACAATAGCCTCTGACAGGGCTGGCTCAAACCATTCTCCTCTTTCCTACCCCATTCACCAGCAAGTCAAAACTAGCTTAGGCGATCGGTTTCAGGCGCATTGACCGTCTTGTCTCAGTTTGAACTTAAAGTGGCCATTTTATTTGTAAAGTACATTGTCATGAAAGGTCTACTGTGCATGTGGTAGCTGTGTGTTGGTCCGACGAAGACCACGCCGTGGTGCGCCCTGTCCCGTCCTGGTAAGTAGCTCCGGTCGGACGGGCGAGAACAGTCTTGCCTAGGGAGAGCGCCCGGGCGGGCCGTGATGCGTCGCGGGCGTCTTTGGCGGCGCAGCGCTGTCGGTGTTGATGCACTTGTGCTGGCCTCGGGTCCGTTCGTTTGTTCGTACCTTACGGGTTGTTCGAGGCCGCGACCGCCCTTTCCTCCGCACGCTCCTGAACAGACCACTACCGTGGTCTCGCCGAATGTCATGTCGCGTCCTCGTTCGGCTGGATCATGAACTGCAAGCGGACCGTATCGCAGCCCCGCGCTCAAGGCATCACGGCCCTAATTTCTGGAAGTTGGACCGGTCAAGGATTAAGTCCACGGAAGCCCACTTCCAGGAATGCCACCTCTACCCGCATTCGAGCACTCTCATCCGCCAGTTGCTACGACCACCACCTCCTACCAAGATACGCACCAGGATACCAAGACGATCCACGTGGGCCACACAGGGATAAGACTTCTAAGATTTTTTAACCATGCCTGGTCACTAAAATGATGAAAACGCTTGCGTTGTACGACTGTACCCCCGTCCGACACGCCGTGACTGATGCAAGAGAGTTTGGCCAGTAGTAATCTGGTTTAGAATTCGTCCGTTCGTTCGATAATATGTCCGGAACTGTTAAGTTGACGTCGCCTTTGGGATTCGGAACAAGCACTGTGCCAAAGGAGGCTACCCCTGCCGGTTTTGCGGAGTCAGTCAAAACGCTGGGTTACGTCGCTGATAACTATACCAATTTCTTCAATGGGGGTGAGTTTTATGGAGCGGATGGAGCGAATTTAAAAGCACTTCGACAGTTCCTTGAAGATCGTTTAGCAGCAAGAAGCCCGGCGGGTAGTCGTCCCCTCATTTTGAGTATAAAAGGATCTGTCGATATGAAGACCTTCACTCCGGACGGATCCAAGGAAGGCATAGATCGCAGTATTGGAAACATAGTCCGTACACTCAACGATGTTCGTGACCGTTACCCGAAGGACCTGCGGCCCCTTGTTATGTACGAGATCGCCCGAGTGGATTCGCGCGTGCCCTACACTGAATCAATAGGTTACATATATGAGCACGTGAAGAACGGAGACATCGATGGCATCTCGCTCTCAGAGACGGGCGCCAAGACGATAGAAGCAGCTGCTTCAGTGGCTCCCATTTCGGCGGTGGAAGTGGAGTTCTCTCTTTTCACTCAGGACATCAGACACAATGGAGTGCTTGCCACCTGCAGAAAGCTCGGCATTCCTATCGTTGCCTACTCTCCACTTTGCCGAGGGCTATTGACCAAGCAGTGCGTTCAAGACCCTCAAAAGTATTTGGACGCAATTCCGGAAACAGACATGCGCAAAGCGGCCAGGATCGAGAAGTTTCTGCCAGAGAATTTTATGCATAACGTTAAGTGTCTTGAAGCACTCCAACAATACGCACATGAACGTTACAACGCCGATCTGGAACAGCTCGCCATCGGCTACATTGTCAAATTGTCCACACAGAATTCCAGGAATAATTTGCCCTCCATCATACCCATCCCCTCAGGATCCACTGCAGAGAGGATCGACCGAAATTTCAAGTCCGTACTGCCTCTCACCGACCAAGACATTGACAACATCCACGATTTGCTCGATACCTACAAAGTAAAAGGCTTGAGGTACAACTCCAAGCTCGAAGCTCTGTGCTTCCAGTGACATCACGCAATTTTTCCCCACACCACTTTAACCCGCTTTTCGTGAGCTGAAACCACACACATCAAACGCGCCGCAGTGGACGGTTCCGTCTGGCTGAACTCTGAGCCTTGTTCGCCTCCTCACCTAGCTGTGGCCTGATACCCACAACGTGTCACACAGCGGAACGGACGGTCTTGTTACTGGGCATGAGATACGCCTGCGCCTGTGTCCCCGAAACGCAAGCTCCTAATGTGCTGGTCCGCGAGCTGCTGCCCACCAGCGACGCCAGCAACCCTTATCTCTCGGGTTGTGCTACAGACCCCAGAATGTGCAGCCCATTTGAGAGGCACCCTACAGGACACATGAACATGTTTTCCGGGCCTTGTGAACACACTCCCCTCGCACCTTGGACCCGGTGTAGCATCATATTCTCCAGTTCTATCTACCTAACTAGCAGTTGGTTGCAACACTTCAGCACCACCTCAAATGGAGTCTGGGCATACTTCCCCGCGGCCGGCATGTCGCGGCGGTCTTGATAGCTATACTGAGATGCCCCCGAGACACCGCACAGCAACCGTGCCAGAGTCAGGGGACTTACCCAGTCTCTGTTGCTGTCAAAGTCGTAGGGACTGCTAGGGACGCGGTGCCTAAAGAGACAACCATATGACCTTGCCACCCTACTCGTTTGCTTACCCAAAGTGTTGGAGGAGGTGCCTCTTCAAGGCGAGTATGTCGTCTTCCAGGACGGCCTGTTCTCCGGGGGTGTCAATTAGGCAGGAGTCGCCGGCGAGCCACTGCGCCCACTCGGGGGTACGCACTGGCCAAGGCAGTTGACTGGCGAAGTAGCACTCGAGGTAGGTCCGGCAGTCCTCGGTGCGGCCGCGCTCAAAAAGGTTCCAGAGGATGTAGATAAAATCGAGCTTTTTGACCTGCGCGTGCACGTTGGCAGAAATGCTACGGACCGTCTCAGCCACGGCGTCGCGCTCGACCGCTGCCGCGACCGCCTCGCCTTCCGCGAAGAAGTAAAGCCGGCGCGAACCCGTCGCCTGGCACACACTTACCATGTGCTCCGCGCACGCCTCGTACAACGCATCACGCACCGCCAACGGGTCGCCCAACTCCCGCCGGAAACGCCGCGCCGCACCGTCCCAAAGCAACTCGATCCAACGCAGTCGGTACACGCCCTGGTTCGGCTTGCTCTTCCAAAACGACTGACGCAACGCTGCAATCGGACCCTCCGCAATCTCGTCCAACGGCTCCCGGAAACAACGCAACTCAAGGTCACCCAGCACCCACCAACCCGCCGCACCGTTCCGTAATGCACACGCCAAGTCAGCTATCACGCTCACCACAGACAACTCCTCCTCGCCCCCACAACTCAGCCACTTCTGCGCCGTCTCCACCGACACCGTACTCAACGCACTCCCGTCCGCCCCCACGTAACGCACCACCCGCGCCTCCGCCATCTGCCGCCTTACCTCCCGCA